TTTCCTTTTTTTTTTTTTTTTTTTTTTCCAGAGAAGTTAATTTATATGAAAAGCGATAAAAGAGAAGTTAATTTATATCTCTATCTTTATTATTATCTTGATCTCCATCAGCTATCAATCAAACTCTCGCTAATAAGGCGCAATAAAACTTTCCGTTCAATGAAATCACATCCTACCTTTTAGAGAAAGAAAAGCGATTCCCTTCCAATGCTTACTAGGCCACCCTATCAAATTTCCCTCTATAGAAACTAACTAGAAAGGTAGCCATCATCCATTTGGGATAAAGATTGGCATCATGAGAACTGGGAATTTGTCTGAATCTCATTAACAACGTGCAGACTCGTATGAAGAGTTGAAGACACCACTCACAATATTATTCACACGAATATTTTAGCTTACTGTTTACCAATTGAAAATAATAGTTTTAAAGTGGACTAAGACAACGTGATAATCACGAATCCCCGAGACCGACCGAGTCCTCTCACTAGCTTATTTGCAGGCTGAATCTTAGAGTATTTGAACCAGTCAGCCACTTGTAGCGATTTTCTTGAACCAAAAATTCAGTAATCGTTCGACTTCTGGAAAAAGAATGAGTCAAAATCTTGTTGAATTAGAAGCTTTTTTCCGAATAGTCCAAGGGAATCTTGCAACAATAAGAAACTTTATGCTGAAAGCTGAACCCACTGCTTTGTACTCATTCAATTCTACTTTTCATTAAAGGAGGGGAATGAGAAAACAAATTTGAATTAGAGTCTATAAAAATTTACGGGAGGATTAATTTAATGGGTTAATATTAGTCAAGTATTGTCAATTCAAATATCGTGCACGATAAAAATTGTTCCTGCATGTGTTATATATACGTTCTTGAGATTTGTGCAACAACAATGATGTAATCAACGGAGAAAGAAAACAAACAGAGATTTATGTGGTTTGAAAATTGACTTACATCCACGTGAACGAAGCGACTGTAATTTGTGTTTTGTATGAATAATAGGGTTACATCATATACATACTAATCCTTATATATGCAAGACTTTAGGACCCGTGCAAGATTTTAAGGGGAAAATCCTAAAATATCCCTGTACTGTTAAGAGTCCCCGGCAACAAACAATAAATTACTTACTTGAGAGTTATTCCAACAAATATATATTCCACTTTATATTTACTGCATATTACAACATACATGTAATAAATGAACCTTTAGTGGTTAATACACGATGTCTTGAGTAATTTTTTTATAAAATATAATGAATTTTCATTTCTATACAGCAACACGTCTTATACACTTTGTCGAAATTCTCGAGGATTTGAAGAACATTTTTATATTTTGTTCTGTGGATTATGGAATAGAGAATATGGGAATTTATTTAATTCTGTGCTTTCTGATTGTGTTTGGACAAATTTATTTTGGTAATCTATTCAAAGATTTGAACGAATTTTTTTTTTTTTTTTTACTGTGATAGTATTAATTATCAAGAAAGCTAGTGACTAACGAGTTAAACCCTTTCTCCGGCCTTTCTGAATGGGAACAATAAATATATTACACATAACAATTATAACTACGAAATTGCAGTTCTATTTCGAATTTGAATGGAAATTTTTTAAGAATTCAATAGATGTTCATTAAAGGGGAAAAAACCTGCATCAAGGCATACAAATTAATCTAATTGGCCATCATCTTTTGAAATTCATAAAAATCCAGCACTCCGTTGCCATCAAGATCAAAAACTCTAATCATAGACTCGCATTCTTGATACGATTTGGCGTTTCCAAGGCGGCGAAAAACCTGGCGCAGCCCCTCCGCCGTGATGCACCCGGAACCCTTTTCAATCTCGAACACTTCAAAAGCCATCTTAAGAATATTATCATCTTTTTCCATTAATCCGACGAACTCTTCAAACTCCAACAAATTGTCGCCGTTTTTGTCGAATTCTTGTACGATTTTCTGAGCCTCGTCATGTGTTATGGATTCTCCAATGGACGTGAAATATGCCATCAGTTCATCCACTGAAATCCTGCCATCGTTGTCATTGTCGAAGTAAGAGAAAACTTGTCGGGTTTCATCTTCTTTGGTTGGTGTTTGCAGGGCGGAAAAACGGCCTGAACCACCACTTCCACCGTGGGCTGTGATTGGTGATTGAGGTATGGAAGGAGGGCTTGGAGTTTTGGGTTTTGAAACGAAACGGAGCTTGAGAGACTTCGCAATTCTTGCTGCCATTGGAGAATTAAACTCAATTGTGAATACAACAGTGCCTGTTTTAGAGGTTTATATAGGAAAACAGAAATAATCTGCAAATAAAAATCTGTTCAAAAAAGGAAAAACAAAAGGTGAAATCTTCGTGAAGTTGCAGTGAAGCTTCGTGTGATTGCTTAAATTAATGCATAGGTTTAATTTTTGAGTGTGTTATTTAATTTCACATTTCATTTAGCCTATCATCTAACGCCACCTAAATTGATGTTGCAATCCGAGTTGGGTTACATAGCATTATTTTTTTTCAAATTAATATTGATGCATATCATTGAAATTTATTTTACATGTTAAAAATCTCACTTTTTACCATATATAGTTAGGGTGAAAATTCCAGGAAATTACTAAAAAAACAGATTTTTAGTAATTCGAAAAGTTGGTAAAAGTTATTGGTCTTAGGATATGTGCGGTTGAAAATTTATTTGAAAAAAATAAAAATAAAATGAAAGCTAGATATGAACTTATTTTCATCACTACACGATAATACGAGTAGCATAATAGGAAATTCGATTAGGTAAACATAACATAAAGAAATTGCTTACTTTTATCTAAAAAAAGAAGGAATCAAGTGTTTTGGATTCAAATTATGTAAAAAATCTTTCTTACTATCGAAATTAAAAAAAAAAAAAAAACAGAATTAAATTGCGTCCAATAGAATTTGATCCTCTACCAAAGATTTAGAAGACCTCTTCCCCGAAAAGGAGTGGCGTGTTCTCAACCACAAGATAGAATGGAACAGCCTAATTAAGGCACAATGTGAACAGAAAATTGAAGATTAGGCAGGCTTCTCCTTTATTTGGGATTAAACTCTTAAGACTTTTCTTAAAATTAGTTTAAACTACCTAAAAGGATCTTTCACACCTTCTGTAATCAAATCGCTGAACTTTAATTGACAGCATTCAAATCACTTAACATCAATTTAATAGCGCAATAGAACTTGCTGCGATGGACATCAAAACTAACATGTGCACACAACAATATGCATGAATTTGGTTTGATTGTTATTATATATCGCAAAACTTTTGCTTCAATGCAATTGGGCTATTAAACTTCAATTGACGAGCAACCAGGTCAATTAACTTCAATTTTGTAGAAATTAAGCCATTCTATTTGTGAAGAAGATTAAGTAAAAAAAAAAAAAAAAATGTGATCTAGGATGCTTCAATTTGGCCCTTTTCTTTTCTTCTTCTTCTCCGTTATCCCCTCCCCCCCCCTCCCGCGTAGTGGATGCTATAGTTAATGGGCACTTTGATTTTAAAAACGTCTATGGTTTAGATATATGGACTATTCTTTTTTTGTTGTAACTTCTCAAAGCAATGCAAGCTTGGATTTAAATGTTTTTGTCCATGATGAAAAACAATGCTTGGAGCTTTAGGTTTTCGTTCGGCAAGTGGTTTGGTAAATTGAGACGTAATGAAGTTTAGTAATTTGATTGAGTTGGGGTAAAAGTTTGTGATCGTCAATATAAGTAACCCAAGTTGACATAGATTGCTGACTCTAGTTTTAACGTCCATATTAGAAAGTTCTATTAAGTTGTATGGCGGACATTAAGTGATTTAATTGAGCTTAACTTAAAGCTAAGTGACCCAGTTGCTGCAAATTGAAGTTGATGATCTGATTACAATTGGAGTGAAAGTTTAGTGATTGCCGGCACACTAAATTTTAAAGGTAAGCTTTTTAGTTTTTCCCTTATTTGGATTGGGTAATACATGAATTCATGAAAACTAAGAAACCCAAACCCGTCTAAATTATGGACTGCTACAAGGGTTCGGCCTGAAGAGATTGCCAGGCCTACTGCTATATGGATTGGGAAAAATTCATAAAACATGTATTAACTATGCACAATTCAAAAATCATATTTCAAATTTAACTAATGCAAAAATTAGGGTTTTATCTAATTAGTTAAAAATATTTATTAATTAAATATAATAAAATCACAATTATATAATTAATGGTCACGTGCACACAATTATAGGTCACAGATTTATTCACTGGTCACATATTATCAAATTGATTGGTAACAAATTATTTTGAGGTCACGAATCGAAACTTTGATATGTCACAAATTATTTCGTGATCACGGATAATTTGTCCATCAATTTTATATGTCACAATTTATGTTATTGATCACAAATCAAAAAAATTATAAGTCACGGGTCACATATTTTCAAATTTGATGGTCACAGATTACTTTTTTAATCACAAAATGATCGAATTTTAAGTCACGGGGAGACCAAATAATTGGTCACCAACATCAAACACCCAATCTCGATCCACTATAGTACTTGGTTACAAACACTACCCCGACAACAACACCATCATAACCACCGCCAACACCAACTCCACGACATCATTACCAACAAAATCGCTGCCACTAACAACCACCTCCATCGTCGCCAGAAACCACCACAACCACCACCACCAAACACACCAACGATAACAAACCCACAACCTCACCACCATCTCCAACTCCAAAAACCACCATAGCCACCAGGACGACCACCACATCAAGCACCACCACCAAACACAACCAACAATACACCATTCCCAACCTCACCAACGCCAACCAAATCACCACCACCACCCAGATACCCACTGCCAATAGGAGCACTGTTGCTATCATCACCACCACCGCATTCCTACCAAGATTCATAACACCACCATCACCCCCACAAAGTCACCACCACCACCTAAAACATAAAATGCACCATACCAGACTCCCAACATCGCTACTTAGATCCACCGCACAAGACTCACCACCACAACACACCATACCTCCACCACATCACATTGTTCGCGACAGCGTCACTACGTCACATCGTCGCCATTCTGTCATTCACAACAGTGTCGGCTGACAAATTTGAACAAAGAAGAAGCGACGCTCACACCCCCTTGCCGTCAATGTCGTGAGCAAAGAAGAAGCGGCGAAACCACGATTGTGCAACAGCGCTGATGATGGAGTTGTGCGAAACGGTGGCTGCACCTCTGATGCCGTGCCTCAACGCCTAAGGTGCCATGTCGCCGGAGAGGAGAAACTCCTGCAGAGAGACGCGAAATGAGAGAGAGCCAGAAAGGGGGAAACTAATTTAGGGCTGGGGTGGGTTAATTATAAGATTATTATTATTATTAAAATATATAATTAAAACCTGATTTATGCTTAATTAAACTTTGTACCTGATTCTGTAAAAGTGGTCTTTAAAGACCCGCTCCTAGTGCTGTCAATGGATCGAATATGGAGCGGATCTGTCCAAATCCGATCCGATCCGTTAAGAAAAATTATTCGATTCGATCCAATCCGATCCAATAATCCAACGAATATTTGATTGTTAAATCCATATCCGTTTGCTATGTTATCGGATATTCGATCCGATAATTCGATCCGAATTTTTTTCCACCAATTTTTTCTAAAAAAATATTTCAACTATCTTGATGGACTCACCTAATATACTAGAAGGCCCAAATCAATTTTTTATCCAAGTGATGCTCTTTTAGTTCTTTTTAAAGAAGACTTCCCTTTGAATGTTTTAATAATCTTCTTATGTGGGATACTACATTTTTAAAGGGTACTTCACTTCTAATGTTTTAGTGGTTTTTCAATGTGAGATATTACTCAATTGTCAATTCTAAGTGTTTACTAGTTTATTTTATTATTTTCACTAAAAATCATAGCCTTAACAAAATTAAAATAAAAAACAATATCAATTTTAACAAAGTAAATTATTTTTGGACATATTAATTTTTAGTTTTTGATGTTATAAAACAAATTACTATAGTTATTTTTATCTTATTTTAATTAATAAAAAATTAAACCTCTTTGAATATTTCAAGTAAAAATATTATACTATTATCTAATATTATTTATTATTTGAAAATTAGGCGTAAAGCATAATATAAGTTTCAAAATGAAAAAAAAAATTATGTTTAATAAATTATGATAAAATATATAATATTATTATAATAAATCGGATTGGATCGACATATATCCATATTTGCTCCATTTAGTTAACAGATTATTGAATTCGAATTTTAATCGGATTATCGGATTGAAATCTTAAATCCATCTCCCGTTAATTTCATTGGATTCAGATCGAATTCGGATCAAAATCCAATCCATTGACAGCCCTACCTGCTCCCATGTAATTTTCCCATAAGCTCTATTTGAACCCCATTATATGAAAAATTTGTGGTGCGTTTGGTTTGCTATTTTCAGGTTATTTTCAATTTTCAAATTAAAAACGTGTTTGATTTGCTATTTTTGAAAATGCATTTTTGAAAATAACGAAAAAATTTATAACATAATACTTGAAATGCATTTTTGATGTTTTGAATGTCTTCCGTGGAAAAAAAAAAAAAGAAAAGAAAACCCAAAATATGAAAAATAGGAGTAAAAAAAAATCTAAAAAATAGATTAATTTTTTAAAAATAAATTTTGGAAAAATTAAAATTAAAATTTTGAAAAAAGAAAACTATAAAAAATTCTAAAAAATAAAAAAATTGTTCAAACTCTTAATAATTATACATTATTCTTTCAAAAAAATATATGTAAACGAACGCAAACAAAAGTATTTTCAATCGACATTATTAATTTTTATTTTTATTTCCTATATTTTGAAAACCAATTTTTTTTTTCAGTTTTGAAGCGAGGAAAAATATTGTAAAATTTACCAACTTTAAAATGTATATATTACTTGATAATATATTAATAATCAAATTTAATGGAATAAATGTCATAAATAATTTTTCAAAATTTCAAACCAAACATAACTTTTCAAAATGACAAACCAAAAGCGTTTTAAGAAATCTTAAAATAAAGATTCAAGATAGAAAACAGAAAATGAATTTAAAACTCAAGACTAAAAACAGAAATGCAAATCAAATAGGCCCTTAGTTTTTCTCAACTCATTTTTAACTATACTTTTTTTTAATAAAACAAATTTTCAAGTAAATACAAAAAAATTTCCCGCTTTTTAATTATATATTTCTCCAAAAATATTACTATTACGAAATCAATTTTTAAAAAAAAGGGGGGGGGGGGGGACTAAAACACATCCTTAATTTAAAGAAATTGACATAA